ATGGTCTTTTCTATGACACAGACTGTAGATTGGGGAAATCTTAGCCCTTGGTCCCCCTAATCAAACAGCACTTTTATTTTTAACTTAGGTATGACACATAATTCCAGAATGATTTTTGGTGTCCCATTCCTTCTTAAAATCTGTCTGAAGGAGCCCTAATGTTTTAGGACCACTCACATTAGTACTGTACTTGCTGCAAGTGATGTGGCGGGAGGCGGGGGCATTGGGGAGGCCTCGGTCCTGCTCGCTGGCTGGGCTGTGCAGGTTCCACCAGGTGAGTACAGAGCCCGAAAAGCGCAAGGCAAGCAGCGTTTTCCAAGTTCCTGTGGAGTCCAGACCTTTCCCGTGCCAGCCCTCCACTTGGAACTGCATTTTTCAAGCCAGGTCTTAAAAATAACATGATATTAACAATAAGAATTTAGATGAGAGCTTGAATTCCCATTCTTAGAATTCATTCTTCGGTAATTAACGTGGTCCTAGCATGCTTTTGTGGCCTGGCCTTTTTTAGGTGCCTCCTTGCAAATGTGTGTTTCTGGGCAGATTGCTTTAGCACGGATGAGGGGCGGTCTGAAGGTTGTTTGCGTTTTGAAGGTGAAGTTAACATGATTGCATTTACCCAAGTTGGAAGAATCAGGACTGCTTACCCTGTTGATCTAGTTCCTGCTCAGAAAAGGTGGTTCCCTTTTTTCCTTAATTTCCATACTTACTTTTCACGTAGAACAAGCCAGTTTGACATATCAGTTCATCAGTCGGAGTTAAATTCCATGGGGGAATGAAGTGGTTGTGGTTTTCTAAGTTTCCAGGTTTGCTTATTGGACAAAATAAGATAGCAAGGAGGTATTTCAAGCAGGGACCATAGACTATACAGGAATTGAGTCTGAAGATGCACGACCTAAACAACTGCGTTATTCCGAGTGGCCAGAGTTGCCTGAAGGCTGGGGAATGTGGACAACTGGAAAGTAGCCTGAGGCCTTGTTCTAACGGGCCTGGTTAGACTGCATTTGGAAGCGGGCACCACGGGGCGGTAGCTTGTGCTGTGTGCATTATGTTGGTGTGCTTGTCGCTTTCAGTGGGTGGTACTGGAATGATTGTTTTTCCCCTTTTCTGATAGTTTTGGTTAATGTCTCTTCGTTGGGGTGTCTGAGGGTAAAGTTTGATCCCACACTTTAAAATATGGGTATTCTTCAGTGTGATAAAAGAAGGGGTGCTTTTTACAGGATTTAGTTACACTTGTCTGCCTTTTTAAGCAGGCATTTTTTAGAGTTTGACTCTGATGTAAAATTGTGAAGTTCTTTAATGATGTGTCAATTTCACACGTTTAGCCATGTTGGCAATGACAATGGATTTGAGAAAAATAGAGCAAAATTAAAGTATTTGGTAGCAATCAGATGGTTTGTGTTTATGCTTCTCACACAAAACAAGTACTTACTAATTATTGTTTGAATTTCAATGGCACGTTTAGCACCATTGAAAACTGCCTGCAGAATTTTGTGATTCTTGGGCTATCGATTTTTGTGTGGAAAAGATTCAAATTTCATCATTGCTAGGAAGTGATTGTGAATCAGGTAAGAAGAGAAACTTGAAATATGTGTGCTTTCTTCTTAGCTGTAGATAGAAAGTATACTGTTCTGTTTTCATAATAAGAATCACAGAAGGTGCTGCTAAGGGACCTGTGATTGGTTGTCTAAAGTCTGGCGGGTGGATTGCACAGGCTTGGGTTCCCACAGCCTTTGAGCTCCAGTAGGGATCACTCCAAGGCTGCTTTTTTTTTTTAGTAGCTTTGCTGTTTCTACTTTTTTTTTTTTTTCCCATCTCTTGGTTCCAGAAACTCAGGTTCAAAGTAATTATCATTTATCTTCTGAATCCTATCTGAAAGACTGTCTCAACTTTTGAGCCAATTTTAATGTGTATTTTACTTATTCTTGTACAGAAAATGTTGATTTATCCATTTCCTTGTCGGCTTTTTATGAACATCTGTGAAGTGCAGGCCTTGTGCTGAGTGCTAGTAACAGACCTGCTCTGGCCCTTGCTCTTAGTCTGTCATCCTGGGAAGGCGACTCCTGGAGCAGTTGTTACCAGAGTGGCTTGGAGGCTGGCTTGCGGGGCGGGGGAGGGAGCCCCAGGGGAATAGGACAGGCTTTCCCCACCGGGAACGCCACAAGGAGGAGGAAGGAGAGGCAAATAGACAACAGAAGAATGTGCTTTTATTTTCTTGGGTGAGATCCATATTCTGTCTTTGACTTTTTGCTCGTTTGATGCACATTTACTCAGGTTCTGGCAAGGTGGGTCTTCTTGAAATCAGGTGCAGGCCTTGACAGCTGTGCTGTTTGTTACTCACTGTATTCTTTTGGTTTATCCCATATATGAAGAGGGAGGCAAAGTTCTTGTTAAGACTGGTATTTGTATCTATTACTCTGTAAAGGTAAATGTTCCATTGGCCTGGCTGGTTCTCGATCAGGCATGTGTGTAATTACTGTGAAGCTGGTAACTTTTTTACTCTTTTCTGGTACCCTGGTATGTGAATTCAGTTCATTTAAGGCCTTGGGCAGATTTTCACTTTGGAAATCAAAAGGTAATGGGTAGGTGAGTTAGTTTGCTTCCTAAATGCTTAAAATGGTCAATGTTCTTTAATTTTCTTGATGGCGGTCTTACACTGGGCAAATTAATTGTAAGCTTTTGTAATGGAGAAATTAATCCGGTGGTTTAAAGAAGAGAACATTTTAATTCTCAGAGCACTTTCTTCTTTAAATCGAGGTGTAATTTACAAATAGCACAGTGTACCCTGTTTAATGTACAGTTCTGTAAGCTTTGACAAATGCATGTAACTACTACACAGTTGGGGTTTAGCACAGTTTCCTCACCCCCTCAAGCTTCCCCTACCTCTTTGCCTCCACTCCTCTCTCCAGCCCCTGTAAATTACTGATCACTTTCTGTTCCTGTAGTTTGTCTCTTCCAGAACATTATATAGATGGAATCCACCACTATGTAGTCTTGAATCTGGTACATTGAGATTCACCTTGTGTGTAGTAGTGGTTTGCTCCTTTTTACTGCCAAGCAGTATTCTGTTGTCTGGTTGTGGGGGTTTGTTCGTCCGTCTACGGGGTGAAGGATATTTAGGTTGTTTCATTATAGTGCTTTTGAAGTGGGTGGCTCCTGAGGATGGGAGGTGAGAACCCTCTGCTTCTTGTGGTCACTTAGGGACCCAGGCTCCTCCCATCCTGTTGGTTCTGCAATCTTCTTGTCTTTTATCTGTACAATCAAAAACTGGGTGTTAGGCACGTGTTTGTTCTAATTCGAGGGACTAGAAGGAGAGATACCCAGGATAAGCTGGTGAGGCACCCAGGATAAGCTGGTGAGGCAGATACTCCATATATCACTTCCATTCCCATTTTATCTGTGAGAATGAAGGCGAGTGTCTCTCCCTACCTACAGGCAGGCTAAGCAATGGAACTTCTAATTGGGGGGGGGTGGCATGTGTCCAAGAAGGAAAGATTGGTGTTTGGGTGGATGACTAGCAGGCAGTCTGCAGTATTAACTTACTAGTAAAAGTCCTCTTTAGGAAAGAGACCAGTGGGAAAGACATACTCACCAGTCCCTGTAATGATGGTCTCTAATAATTGGCCACTCATTGGGAAGCCCCCTGTCAACTTGCCATGAAGGAGGCTTCTCACTCCGGCCCTGATTCTTTTCTTGTTCGAAACCCCTGCCTGTTCTTTTTTTTTTTTTTTTTAAAGATATTTTTAATTTGTTTATTTGACAGAGAGAGAGCACAAGTAGGCAGAGTGGTAATCCTGATTGGATACATTAGCTTCTTGCTGCTCAAAGTGTGGTCTCAGGCCAGCAG